CCTGTGCCACGCAAGCTGGCTTGTGGGGGTGGAGCGAGGAGTGGCAGGAAGCAGGGGAAGATCCTAGAAGCCCCCTGGACCTGGCCCAGGTTGAGCCCCACCCCCCTTCTGCCCTCTGGCTGCCCTTCATTCTCAAGGACTTCCTGGTCCCTAGTCTCCTGTTTGCTGAGATGGGGAGAACCCCTCTGTGACCCGTCCTCCTAGCCCCCCATCCGCCCTGCTCCCCTCCTCAGGGTGTCTCAGATTCTGGGACTTAGGTTTCAAGAGGCACAATAGTTATATTCTCCGGCTCTGATTGCCGCAGGCCGGGCCTCTGGCTCCCCTTGAGATTGGGTTTCCAGTGCTCTGGACGCTCCGGAATCAGAGGGGAGGGGGAGGGGGAGGGGCCGTGCCACGCTGGAGAGGGCCGAGCAGCTCCTGAATGGTATGGGCCCTTCAGAGGACGGCCACCCCAGAACAGAGCACACCTCCCCCCCTGCTTCTTGAACCTCAGGCCTGGGCAGAGCCAGGGGAAGGACAGGTGGACCCCGAGGGCTGTCCTCCCTGGCCCCCAAAAGCCAGCATTCAGAGCAGAGCCAGAGGGGCTTCCTATCTGGCCGGGGGCTTAGCCCAGAGCATGCTGCCACAGTGGGATCACAGCTCTGGGTGCAGGCGCAGTCCACCCCTGCAGGACAGCAGGAAGTGGCTGGAGGCATCTCCCTGAGCGTTTGCATGGGCTGGGGTACGCACGGGTGGGTGTGGTTGAGCCCGGTCTGTGTGCCCCTCTCAACCCTGAAAACTCCCTGCATCGCGATGTGCGTGGGGGAGGCCGGCCAGCGAGCTACATGTGCCTTTTGTCAGAGAGTTTGTCTCGGGTGAGAGCTGAGGCGGAGTGTTCCTCGCTGCAGCTTGCAGGAACTCCTCCCTCACCTAGCGGGAGCCATAAATATCTCCCTGCCTATGACTGGAAAATATATATAAAAACATTGTCAGTCGGGGTTCATGTGCAGCATGGGGCTCTTCCTGGCAGCTGGAGCTTCCCCCTCCAGAACTCTTGGAAACATGCACACGTATGCACACGCACACATGTGCCAACAGGCAGGATCAGGAGAGGAAACAGGGCTGGACAAAGGGGAAGGGAAGGAGAAGGAAGGACAGCAAGGGGGCGCGGAGTCAGAGAGAAAGGCGAAGAGCTGAACGAAGGAAGTAGGGAGCTTCAAGGGCTGAGAGGGTAGAGCTGGTGGAGGTAGGAAAGACAGTATGGGGGCGGCATTGCTGCTGTTCCAGGGGATACGGAGGGGCCTGAGGAAGAGGGGCCCACACTACCAACCGTGTCTGGGCTGCACCAGGCCACCTGCCCATCCACAAGCCAGCGACACGCGGTGACCAATGTCATGTGTGCAGACGAATGCGGAACAGCCCCTCCAGTTTCAGAGCCTTGCTCTGGGGAGCCCACTTGGGCCCACGCGGAGGCGGTCCCGATTGGTCACCTTCTCCCGCACAGTCCTCCCTCATGGGAGCCTCCTGCGTGGCCAGATCCCCAGGCACCACTGGCGGGAGGGCTCTGCCTGGGCGGGGAGGTGTGGAGCGCACGAGTAGCTCAGGTCCCAAGAGGAGGGCGTATGGAGGACAGTCAGCAGAGCCTGCTCTCGTGTGCGACACAAGCTAGTCTGACCCCCTGGCAACATCCGGGACAAGCTGTGGGCTCCAAAAGCCTCTCCATCCCCAAACCTGGCCCCGGGTCAGGGCCTGGTGCCTGCCCACCCAGACAGACACAGTGGCTGAACTTGGTTTGGAGGAGGCCTCATGGGGTGGCCATCGTGGGAGGAAGTGTAGACACAGAAGGTGCTCTGGTCCTCAGCGCAGGAAGGAGGAAAATGGTGAGTGGTCCGGGGCCGAGGGAGGTAACAGTGCCCACGGCCGCCCTGTCCTGTCTCCAGTCTCTCCAGGAATTTACGGCAGCTGTGGTCTCTGAAGGGAGGTTCAGGCAGGGGGTCTGGGTTTCTGTGCCGGCCTCAGTCAGGGGGGCCCTGCACTGGGGGTCGGTGCTGGGGGTTCCCATTGCTCTGGTGACCAGGCCAGAGAGAAGGCGGAGGCTGGAAAGACGGCCGGGGAACGTGACCCTGAACGGCTGAGGAATCAGACTGGCAGCCTCCGGGACGTGGGCTGGGTGGGAGAGAATAAAAGAGAGAGCCGGGCACCTGCCCGCCCTGTGCCAGCCAACACCGTCCTGCCCCTCCACTGGTCCGCAGGCCACCAGCTGGCCCATTGTCCCCCGTGAGAAAGCAGACACTGGAGGGGGGCTCCCCGGTGGCAGGAGCTCGCTCAGGCACGCAGGCCTGCCTGGCAGGGACTTCCAGAGGAGAGCCACCCCACGCTGGGTCGGGGCGATGGGGGGGGGGCGGGCAGCGGAGAGAGGAGCCGCAGGGCAGCAGTCAGGTCTCCTCCGGTGCTGCTGGCAGGGGGCAGTGCGTGGGGCCTGCGAACAGGAGATAAAGGGTTCAGGCACAGGGTTTTCTCTCGCTAACCGTGGATTTGTGTGTTTGTTCAGCTGGTGGTTCTGATAAGCCCCATTCTGCCAGATAAAAGCCCAGCAGCCGTGAGGAGGGGCCTGGAGCCTTCCTCCTGTCTGTCCTGAGGCCCGGGGTTACCCCCTCCCCCCGGGAGCCCGGATGGAAGGGTGTCAGGTGCTGGGGTGCTGTGTGCTCCGAGGGCTGTCCAGAGCAGACCCTGCCTTCAGGGCTTGGCTCCCCAGCGCCCCTGGGGCGAGAAAGCTGGCCCCCCTCCGGGCGGGGCAGGTGTCTCTCCCCTCCCCGGGCGCCTGGGCCCCAGGAGCCCACAGCCCGTCTCTGAAAAAGCCCTTGGGCCTGGGGGCTGCCCGTGGAGGCCTCAGCCGCCCTGAGCGGAGCAGAGTGTCCCCAGGCCCCGGCCTTGGCCCTCCCGGTCCCCCCTCGGCCTGTTCGGGAGGAAGCAGCTGGTGGCACTGGAGCAGGACGGCGGGGCCCTGGCCGCAGGGCTGGCTTCTGTGCCTCGGAGCCTGGGTCCAGATTTCCAG